TTTTTACCCCTAAGAGATATGATGAGCATATCTGATACTGTCACTGCCGAGTTCCTCCATCCCCTATATGGGGGTACCCATGTGCTGAATCTAGTGTAATGAATAAGAAGTGGCATAGTGGCAGCACCATTCACATATGCCCATAACATCATACCCTCATCATTCCTTGGAAATTTAAGCCTTTCTCTTCAATTCTTAGTTATCAACTCACATTTAAATTTCTTAAAAATGTGATCTGAATGTAATTTTCTATAAAAAAAACATTTTTTATGAATGGAGCATGTTCATTGAAATGATGTAATAAATGAAAAGGATGTAAATTATCCWAGAATTTTAAAAAATGACTCTATTTAAAGTTTAACTAATTCTTTTTTTGATTACAATTAGTGAGAAGAAGGGAGCATTTTATTTAGACTTCAGAAAAAAATTCTAGAATCTTAAAAAGTCATAAACTAATATAACTGCAAATACAAATTGATAATGGGTTTCACATGTAAAATTGGTAACATTGAAGACCAAATCCTCCCTCCCCTAGCCCCAGGCATCTTTAGGGGCAATCCAAAAATCCCTCCATATGAATGGTGTCTGTGGAAAGGGATTTTTTTGCTGCACTAAGGATGCCTGATAAGGAGGCTACCCCCCCCCCCCCTTCCCCCCCACTTCACACAAGGGACATTTGGCATATGTTTGTTATAAGCTGTTGTTTCTCGACAGTTATGTAATAATTCACACAAAACATGGGGGAAAAAACACTAAAGTTAGAAAAAAAAGTTTAAAAAATTTAAAAATTCTTATCTGGTTACTGTGTTCAAACTTTGTTCTGAAAAATGACTAAACACAGCTGTAAGCTATTCTTTAATTTTTTTAAATTTTTTCCTAGCAGCCATATAAGGAATATACTGAAATAAAGTGCCTTCAATTTTTAAAGACAGTCTCCTAGCAACCATAAGATGCAGCGGAAACCCTAATCCGGTCATGTTTCCGTTTTCCCGCCACCCCACCCCACACGGGGGGAACACTCCCTTGTTGATCTAAATATGGTATATCGATCCCAGTCTCTTGACGTCCATCATGCAGTGGCATGCGAACAGGAAGGCAAGATGTTGTGGTAAAGACTAAAAAATCTAAAGATATTTTACAAACATTCCTGACTTCGAACTTTCAGGCATCTCTGCCGACACCAAGCTTGGGGATTCATTAAAGAGTGGACGCCATGGCTGACGAATCGGGGGACGTAGAGGCCGATGTTCTGGGTACGTTTGTGTGTGTGTATAGTCACACCAAGTCAAGGTCTCTTATCTTCTCCAACATATACCACATTCCACACTTCTCTACATAGACTTAACTAATCTTTTATTCCATGCTTTGTTGATAATTGTAGCCCTTGTTAAGGCGACTGTTCGTCAGGAAATGGACTTGGATTTTGCCAAGAAAGTGAAAGTAGAATACAAAGGAGAAAGGACAGAGACACGAATTTTGGTGAGGCTTTTTTGGTTTCTAATCTTGAGACCTTAGTTTGCTATTTCCTGTTCATTGAATCCTGAAAATACGCCAAGGGTATCTTTTACCACCGTTAGATAAACCCGAGATTTTTTCTGATCGACAATTTCGATTTTTGAGTTTATAACTAAAAGGGTTTTTTGGCCTTTTAGCTYATGTATCAACTGTACGAAAAGTGCTCATACGATCGAGTTAGTCATGCCCATATAAATAGATTGATCCGAAACTTTAAACTTGTTTAGAAAATTCCTTCAGAATTCTTAACCCTAATATCTTAAGTATTTAATCCTCTGCAACGGTGTTCATTATTTTTTTCTGGTTCTCACAAGTAATATGATTCTAACTTGAACTCGTTAGTAAAAATGGGTAAAAACTATGCCCAAAAATAACTGTCTTTCTTAGAGGTAGCATAGTTAGAAGTAGGCGTGTACGATGTAAAACATTTTACGGTTTATGCATGCTTTATTCTTTATGTTATTACAACCCAAGTCGTAAAGTATCAAAACCCAGTTTATTTTATAATAATGTCACGATTGATTTTATTTTGCCTATCAGCTGATGTACGTCGCCAGTAGATGACAACTTGACTCCTCAAACTTGCATGTCCACACATATTAAATTAATAAGCGATRCTCTTGTAAAGTTTACGATGAACATTTTATAACAATCCTTTGTTATAAGTTCTTATAAGACCTAAGATTAAAATGTTTAGAAATATATTTTAGAAAGATTCAATTTTTTAATTATTTGTTCTTAGTTTCAAGTTTCTTTTTCTTAAACGAAAATTTTATAGTTKCATTTGCGTCACAAAATAAAGCAGTTTTTCGTTATGATGGCTGATATATATAGCCGCAGAAATGTTCATCTCAAAGCTTATTAATTATATCTCACAGAACTTTGAATTTATAGACCTGAAAACGGTTTCAAACCAGTTATTTTTGTTGCATATGGAAATAAATGAAATAATAGTTTCAATCTGTTATCATTCATAATTTCAATTACAAAATTTGATTAATAAAAACATTAACTTATTTTAGGTGATAGYTTCCAATAAGTCAGAATTTATAAGGGTTTGAAAAATAGTGATTCTTGATAATGAGAATTAGAATCCTTTTGTCCCAGCTCAATTAATTTTCTGAATTTGAGTGAAAAAAAATGCTAGAAATTCATAGATTGGAATTAATATTGCTTATATACCCTCGCAAGGCCAATCTGGGTTTTTTCCCCATGTATTTCAATATTTTACGTTTGGGTGTGTGCACTACTTCAATGTCTCCCAATTGTCTATCATAAAAATATGTTTGACTTTGTATCTTTTTGTTTATTTATCATTTGATTGTAGTTACAAATGAATAACTAGTTATTTATCTAAAAAATGTTATAAGTCTGTGTAAAAACCTTGTTGATTTTTCAGTTTCAATATTGCAACATCACAGGCTATATTCTAGGGTTATAACCTATTTCCTCGTGGCCAGTGTATTTCCCTACGTCTGACATGTTCTCCATAACCAGACACTCTGTCTATCCATTTTAGAATTAACATTCATACTCAATATCTACCTTACTCCCTGAGATAACATGGCCTTGTCATAACTAAAGACATCGGGATTTAGAATTTTAAATGAAAAGTCAAAGGTTAAACTAACTTTTACATCATGGAATGCATTCAATTTATTTCTAAATGCTTATACTCCAAGCGTGATTCATTTTGGTATTTAGAAACAGGAAGTTTATTTTCATAAGCGCTTTTCTTTGTTATGAATTTTTTTCAAATCGAACCTTGAAATTTATTTTGCTCTTTATGGATTAGAGCTGCCTTACAATATAATCATTCAGTTTATTTTATTAGTATTGTATTCATTTAATACCTTATGTTTAAGTCAAGTTTACTGCTTTTATTATTTTAATACATGTACTTCAGAAGAATTACTTCTGTAGCTATATTTATTGTTTTTATGGTTGATTACTTCTCTAAATTAAAATTTAGATAAAAGAACTCATGAAATTAATTAAATATTAAAGTGGTCAGTCCAGATGTATTGCTACGAGTGTCCTTTTGGTCGTCACATGTTTTGGTTGTCAGATTGTACACTGTACATGGAATAAATTGTGTTCAAGTTATTTCAATTAATAAGCTAGGAGATGTAAAAATAAAATGAAGACAAGGTTAATCTTTCTCTTTTTCTGATCATAGTATTTATTAGCCTGTGGCTAAAAACCTTTGGCCCTGACTTCAGGATCAAATTAGAATGTAGTCTAGGTTTTATTTTGTGATTCAACAAGTTTTTCATACCACAAGTGCAGAAAAGCCAAGCGCTTAAATAATATGGCTGCTTTGTTTCATTAGAAACACTGACACAGCTCACACTARTGGKAAGAAGTTAGAAATTCCTAACACAATGTTGTGAGAAAATTCACATTTTGAGTAAAGGATTTAGTGACTTTAATTTTTTCTGGTTCAAATTACTCATAGATAATATTAATTGATCTTAAAATGATTTCATTGTGTCTGGTATTTAATTACAACATAATGTGGTAATRTTTCAGCCACATTTCTGCCAAAGCATGTTACAAAATTAGTGACACGTCTTTGTTTTAATAAAGTATTTATTATTTTAAAAAATGTTACAAATTTATCCTCTGCTGTCGGCTTTTAGGCTGCTGCCAGTGGCGTATATTTTATCAAATGACAGTAAATTTATTTATTGAATTTAACAGGATTACTTTCTTTGTTATTCTAATGCTATGTCACAATATTTTAAAAGTTCATATACAGTAGATAGATTGTAATCAATTTTCTCATAAGTAAGATTTTTGTCTGAGTAACATTAATATCAATATTAAGCATTAACTGCAAACAAGGGAATAATGCTCAAAGGAATGGTGATGCCTAAAAAACACTGTAATCTAAATTCCATTCTACTACACATATACCAAGGTACAAAAAAACACCTTCAACATTATGGGGGGAGGGGACTTAGATTTAAACCTCCCTCCCCCAATTGATGGTTTTCATGACGGCCATGTTGGAGGAACTTAACGAAAGAATTATCATTGAATTCTTTTGTTATACCCTCCAACATGGGTGCCCTGTCTTTTGTTATTTAATTTTCTTGGGAATGGTTGAAAACCATCAWTAGTATTAGACTATGTAACAATTAAACCATTGTCGAATAATCTATGAGTCAACASTCTTTGACCCATAGATCATGAGGGTGTTATAGACGCACGAGAGAAAATATAAAGAACATACAGTAGAAAGGCATAGCTGAGTGCACTCTAGTTTGTTAAGAATTCTTTATATTTTCTCGAGTGCATCTTTAACGCAATGGGCGATCCACTTTCTGTTGTCTAATTGATTTATAATATAGCTAGATTCAAGAAAAGATRAACTGTGCAGCCCATGGAAAAATAGTTCATAGGTTTTCAACCAATCAGAGCGTGCGTTATATCACTTATCTCGCTCGTGCGCTCCCTATCGACACTATCAGATTTGAAAATTTAGAGAAAAAAGGTGAGCGTCCTTTGAGATCAGCKTGTGTGAGCGTGCAACCCATGGGGAAATGGTTCATTGGTTTTTGGCCAACCAGAGCGCACGTAATAATCTAGCTATATTATAATAGTCAATAGCCCATTTGTCATTTGGGCTCAAGGACTAATTGGTAGTAAGACTAARAGTAGGGAACTGACATTTGAAAATTTAGTGGATGATTAGATAGGACTTGGCTTGAATTGGACAGGCTAAAGTGTACCACCCATTATTTAGAGACAACTTCCAGTGTTGTCCCAGTGTAACTTACCTTTGAGATTGTGTTCTTACACGTACTTATTGTTTTTATTTTCTAGGCCTTATCAGCCTACCGGGTGTACATAGTGAGCAACAGCAAGACAGCTCCAAAGGTAACTGCTAAACATTGTATTAATGTAGCTTTCATCTCTTGTAACTGACATCTTTCTACTGGTCAGGAGAAAGATTAGAGTTAGAAAGTGTTCTACAGTACAGTAAAATAATATGAAGCTAGAAAAGTAATTTGTAGAATGTACAGTACAGTATGTCTTGCAGTCACAACTGGAACTCAGGGCTTAAAATACACTGTAATGGCTGGATACACACAAAAGTATTTTTTCATATTTTGCCAAAGACTTTAATTTCATTGCAAATATGAAGACCTTACACTATTAATGATCATCAGAAGTGAAGTATTTTAAACCTTGTGTTCAAGCAAGGTCTTGTGTGACCATGCTGTTGGAGATGAATTCATATGAAACAGCCTTTTCCATGCTCTGTTCTAATACAGCATGCAAGAAATAATGTATGATATGGGAGACAATGAAGTCTGCTTAAAAAGCCAAAAATGGTTTCCCCAAAATGAATTAAGCTRCAGTAAGTTAATTTTTCAAGTTTTTTAAATGTAAAATAATAGAGGTACGATTTATATTTTGTTTTTCACAGATTGAATCCAGTTTTCATATCCTGGCAATTCAAACAATAGAGAGTCTAAAGCCTCTCCTGGTAAGTACAGTATMAGTTTTTAACCAGGTTTACTTCAGAAGGRTTAATATAGTGWTTTTTTGAATATTGTGTATACTTAAACTGTAGTTGTGCAATGCCGAAATTAGGATTTGGTCTATTGTCACCAGTTATAAATGTAARAGGCACCRACTGATTATTTTTGATTGASAGCAGTGAAAACCCACATTTTAGCAGACAGCTCACAAGTACTGACTAAGCTTACCTGTAATATYGAAAACTGTTGTATACAAATGATATCTGTAAAATAAATGTCATGAGACCTTAAAAAGGGAAATCTTGCATCGAAATGAAAAAGGCGTAGTTCTGTACTTTACAAAGCCCTCTCTATTAGTGTATGGAACAGATACGCAATAATGTGGACTTTTTTTACCTTTTTTACACTCTGTGTATAAGTCGAAGTTGATTTTTCATGGTCAATTTTAGGTGATAAAAAGTCTACTAATACACCAGCAAATACGGTAGTTGAAAATTGTGAGTGTATAACAGTGTTCGTTGTTGTTGTTTTTCTCTAGTGCAACATAACTGCAGCAGAAAAGTTGTATAACATTAAAGTATTCCAACCAAAAGACTGTATAGAGATCATAGCAAACATCCAGGCAGCACTCAAGTCTTCTTTTCCTGCTGGAAACCCTGAGTAAGTACTTGCTTTTTGCTCTAGGATCAATAGACCCTTTCTCAGACTAATTCAAAGGTTGTTGGTTTTAATCTTCAACAAGGTCATGCATCCTCAAGAACATAACATTTTTGGCAAATAACATTAATATATTATGGTTACTACCCACTGACATTAATTATTAACCTTGGTTATTGCTCATTACTGTAGTCTAACTTATTCTAAAAGTTAGGATATATCTGTGTGTGTTAAGTCGTTTCAGGCTCTCACTTGGACCATCGGAAGAAATAGAGACCAGATTAATGAAAATAAACAATCTTGTCAACACATTACGAAACACTGAAGCTGATGCTGAGTTTGGACCTTGTGGTAAGTATGGGACCATTGGTCTTGTAAATCTATAAAAACAGAGCTGAAGACAATGGTAAATTATGGTCAACTGCCTYTTAGAAGGATTCTTTTGACCAGTCACATTGACTGGTAACATATCAATCAGTCCAATGTGGACAGTCATGTTTGACCAAAAATCCACTTACAGTATC